TTAGCCTTTAGCTGGTGTTCTGTGTGTTTTAGCCTTTAGCTGGTGTTCTGTGTGTTTTAGCTTCTAGCTGGTGTTCTGTGTGTTTTAGCCTTTAGCTGGTGTTCTGTGTGTTTTAGCTTCTAGCTGGTGTTCTGTGTGTTTTAGCCTTTAGCTGGTGTTCTGTGTGTTTTAGCTTCTAGCTGGTGTTCTGTGTGTTTTATCTTCTAGCTGGTGTTCTGTGTGTTTTAGCTTTAAGCTGGTGTTCTGTGTGTTTTAGCTTCTAGCTGGTGTTCTGTGTGTTTTAGCTTCTAGCAGGTGTACTGTGTGTTTTAGGCTTTAGCTGGTGTTCTGTGTGTTTTAGCTTCTAGCTGGTGTACTGTGTGCTTTGGCCTTTAGCTGGTGTTCTGTGTGTTTTAGCCTTTAGCTGGTGTTCTGTGTGTTTTAGCTTCTAGCTGGTGTACTGTGTGTTTTAGTCTTTAGCTGGTGTTCTGTGTGTTTTAGCTTCTAGCTGGTGTACTGTGTGTTTTAGCCTTTAGCTGGTGTTCTGTGTGTTTTAGCTTCTAGCTGGTGTACTGTGTGTTTTAGCCTTTAGCTGGTGTTCTGTGTGTTTTAGCTTCTAGCTGGTGTNTCTGTGTGTTTTAGCCTTTAGCTGGTGTTCTGTGTGTTTTAGGGTGTTCTGTGTGTTTTAGCTTCTAGCTGGTGTTGTGTGTGTTTTAGCCTTTAGCTGTTGTTCTGTTTATTTTAGCTTTAAGCTGGCGTTTTTTTATCTGGCATTTTTTAGCTTTTAGCTGGTGTTCTGTGTTTTAGCATTTAGGTGATATCCTGTTTGTTTGTTTAAGCTTGTAGCTAATGTTCTACGTGCTTTAGCTTTTACCTGGTGTTCTTTCTTCATCTTTGCTGCATAAAACTTCATTTTTTAAATCATCAACATTCTCACACAAAATGTTTGAACCTGAGAATCAGAGCCATACTCTTGTTTTTCCCTGGTTTTATTCTCAGATTTTGGATGACTGCAGTGCACCAACACCCACTCTGAGGCTGTTCAGTTCCAGCAGAAGAGCCTAAAACCTCATTGGCTTTCCACCCACCATCACTGCAAGTTGGATTATATAGGAGAGGCTTGAATCTCTGCTCCTGACACGCTCTTCTCTGCAGGCTCCTCTCAAAGTGTCAGAGACTCAAACTCTGCTGCAATCATAACTTTATGCTCTGCAGTGGTGCATTTATGCTGTTCAAACCTCTTTAATGTGCAGGAAGTCTTTGGCTTCGAAGGAAATGGCCATGCCCTGCACAGGAACATCATCACTGGGACCGGGGTTGTAACCCACATTTGTGCGAACAGCAAACGCCACTGGTTTGGTCTAGAGTCAAAACAGAAAAAAATAAAGATCTTTGCACTCTGGTGTACAGATTTGTGAGCATCGTGCAAATATCAAACATACAAGACGTCTGCACAAAGATGAGACTTGATTCTAACTCAATTAAATTAATGACCAGATAAAAGTACAGGAAGTGTGTGGCAGTAACTTTAACAGATTATAAGAAAATCTGATTCCTTGTACTTTAAGTTTAAATAAACTGGAGGTGGGTTAAAGCTTTTCTGCAGAACTGAATGTTAGAAGTCTGACCTTCGCTTTCTCAAGTGTGGCGAGAGCCTGTCTGTCTGCCTCCTTCCTCAGAGCCTCGGGGTCCTCCTCCAGGGACACGTCCGAGTCCGATGGCCGGCTGGTGTAGGAGTCTGCAGAGCCCTGAAATGTYATTCACAGAAAAAGATGAGAAAAGGATCGATAAACGCAAGAGCAACATGTGGAGCTTCAGGCTTTCATCAAATCACACGGAGATGAATTTGGGGGAATTAAATTTTTTTATGAAACTGAAAACAACGATTTGAAACTGAAAAATWATTTTGAAACAAACAAAAAAATTGAGACTTTAAAATAGAGGAATCTGGAACAGAAAAAAATATGTATGTGTACTTTTTGATTATTTGATATAATGCCTGCCATACATCAATTGAACAGCACCTACCATATTGTTATTAAATGACTCACAGCCTGCCATATTTTTAATTAAATGATACAATGACCTGATAAACTGCATTAATTATATGACATAACAGCCTGCCATATTTCATGATTTATATAATCCAACAGCACGTCATCTTTTTTAGTATTTGACACACGCCCTACCATGCAGTAATAGCCTACCATATTTTTTTTTTATTAAATGACCAAACAGCCTGCCATATTTTGTTGATTATATGATACAACCACATGCCATATTATTATGTGATGCATGGCCTGCCATACTTTTTATTTATATGATACAATGGCCTGCTATTATTTTTTATTAAAAAATACAACAGCCTGAGATACTTTAATTTTATAATACAAGTGAACGCCATATTTGTATTATATGATACATGGGCTGCCATACCAGTCATTTCTATTATACAATGGCATAACACAATGTTTTAAGTATATGGTCCAATGGCCTGCCATGCCTTGTTTATTATATGATAAAACAGCATGCCATATATTTATTTTTATGTAGTTCAAGTAGTTTTGAACTTTGTTTTAATCAGTTTTACGTCCTTTTTGTTTCATATTTGTCTTGCAGTTTAAAATAAAAATATTTTATTAATGAACTAATGTTATGGACTCCATCTAATGACCTGTTTGTTCATGTTCAGCTCGTTGTCCCGTGTTTCCCCATGAAAGGTAACCTCTGAGCACGACGGGGCCTTTCATGTTCCATGCAGGCCTGCTCTGTGTAACCTGAGGTGGAAACGGTGCGGAACAAGCTGCCTGCCGTTTCCAGCGCAGCCGGAGCGCCAACCAGCCCTGAAATCTTTGTGCGGAGGGCGACAATAGGTTGGGCGTGTGGGCGTGTCGAGTGCGGACAAAACCGCGAGCCGTGGACCGTTTATAATATCAGCGAGGGCATAAAATTCTTATGAAGTGGCTAAAGTTTCCGGCACATTCACCACTCAGCTGCAGTAACTCGACTCCCTCCTGCTGACCCTGATTCAGACGATGAAACGCCGCAGCCCGATGCCCCGCTCAGCTCATTTATATAACAATCCTACTCAGTTTTGCTTTTGTTTTTTGTCCTTGTTTTGTTTGTTTTTTTTAGCTGCCTGGCTCTCTGTAGGAGGTACTGACAGGAATGCGGACAGCTGAATGTGTCAGGCAGAAGAAGAAGAAGTGAGTCACTCCATGGAGCTTTTTAAAATAGTTGTGAGAATYCACATAAAGATGACGTGCATCAGAGGTGACAGTGATTGAATAAAAAGAATCACACAACAAATACTACCCAACAGGTGTGGAGCTCGTTCAAAGTGATCCACGATTAGTTGTACCATTAAGCTTTATTTGATAAACATTTGTTTTAACTGTAAAATAAAGACTGTAAAAATACTGTAGGCTGTTTAGTTTAGTAAATTTTTTAAATTTATTTACACGCAAAGCATTCTGGGTAAATAATGACATGGATAGGTCCTCGGTGCGAGGCTGCTAGCGAGCTATGTCCACCCTGA